GAGGTCCCCTGTGAGTTTGATGTTTCTAGCTTGTACGGAGTCTGTTCTGTACACTCCTGAATCCTCTGAACCTGTGCCTTTCATTTCCGCAGAAAGCACTTTACTGGAGGCACCTTCTTTGGGGGGTCTGTAACTTGGACCCTATAAATACAATCCTCACTAAACTTGGAGGACAGGTAGAGGAGAGTCAGCTGGATATCCCCTGCAAGTTTGGGATCTCTAGGACATGGGGGTGTTTCTACCATGACATGTACCTCACAAACCGAACCAGTTTGGCGCCTAAAAGTTCATGACAGTTTGTATGAACCAAAACAAACTGCATTTTCCTGATTCACGCCCATCCCATAATATTAATGGATCCCATTAACATTTTTATTGGTTTTCATTATATTATAATTAGCAATAATGACTTTTTCATTTCTTTATATATTAATTGTACATACTGCACTCTTCAAGACAGATTGAGGATGTTTCTAGTTGAAAACAAAACAACAAAGTCAGAATATATACAGTCCAATCACAACATAATTAAAAGCAGCATTAAAATCCAGAAAACCAAAATAAAAGCCAAAAAGTGTAACTGCGTAGTTTTATAGCTTTGCTGTATCAGATGTTGTACTCTGCATCATTCCAGCAATCCAGTACAAATTTCTGTGAACTTCATTTTAGATGCACACATTGGGCATGTTTCAGTTTATGTTTTACACATGTTTAAAATGTGTTGGAACCCTCACTTTCGTAGTTCTGTTGTACTAACAATACATGTGCAAATCCATATTTCCACACCCCTTGCCAACCCAAAACAAAGTCAAGATACATAGACAGAAAATCAGCAAGAGGGATATGTATGCAATTCCGTTCTACAATTTGAAGAACTCCTATCAGAATAGCATACTCGGGAGAGAATTCCTGTCAGAGAGAATTGAGAAGCATCCCTAAACTGAATAGTAGATGTGTCATCAGTATAATGACGGCAGATTTGACCTTGAAAGTTGTCTAGAGATGAAGACGCATAATATCATAGCTGAAGAGCACATGTTACATTTTGTGGTATTTACCTCAGAATGCTTGCCGTCAGTCTGTATGCTGCACCCAGAAGAGTGTATTCCCCCCCCCACCCCAGTTCTTGCTTGCAGCACCTGAGTCAAACTGGTTTTTTGGTTGTTTTTTAAAAATTATATTTATTGGGTTTTATGCATATTAAACATACATCACTCACACACTAATAACAGAAATAAACATGGACAAATATTACAATTAATTTCCTTCTTAACCCATCACAGTGCATAGACATTTTGGTTATAAGTAAATACCATATAATTCCCCTCTAATCTACTACTAACCAACTAAAATTTCACATTGCATAACTCTAATTCCTCTCGGATTAATCTACAAAAATTTACCACTTCTACATATCTTTTACTACCACTAAACAGTCTTCCTATCCCTGGAACAATGTAGCTAATTGAAAAGTCACAAGCCAGTTTTTGATTTAAGTTACTCATATGTCAAAGATTAATGTTCTTTTTAATTTTAGGAAAATATTTTTCTTTATGTATTCAACTGGAGTATTCAAACAACAATCCTCTATTAAATATTGCTTATCCATTTACAATACCATCCTTACTACTTGCCACTGTAATCTCAAACATAATTGTTACAGCCAAATTAATTTGCATGACAAGATAACAGAAATATAGGCCTTTAAACATTTTGGACCATAGTACTACTTCTAATACTAGAAAGTTAATTGACAATAGATCTTAATTTCATTTAATTTACCTATGACAGGGAAACAGAAGCAAAATTAAAAATATGAAATTTTGTTTTAACTGTTATTCTTACTGACGCCTATCTTCCGTCTCTCTAGCGCGGCTAATGTTCCGTGTGACTGCAGCCCTCATAAGGTTTCTCCTTCTCCTAACCTAACCTCCTCCTCCAAATATTATAACCACCTAAACAGGGGAAGGTTAAAAGGAAAAAAACAAAAAATAGGGGAGGAAAACCAAAAAGAAAAAGGCAAGAAAAAAGAGGGAAAAAGGAACAGACATTTTTCATATTTCCTACTACAAACAAAAAATAAATTACTAAGGTGTATTACAATAGCACTGTGTTCTATTTCCTTTTTGTTCCGACCATTTATATTAAACAAACCTATTACTTAAACATAGCTTTTGTAACTCCCCCCCTACTTCTTTCCATAGCTTCCTTCCTTTTCTCATTTTCCTCTGTCGTAAGTTCTTGTATTCTTGTAATTTAATTTCCAAAATGTCTCTTCCATATTCCCTTAACGCAGATTTCAGTCCTTTGCTTATGTTTCTTTACCTCGTCCCTTAACTTTTTTTCTTTGTTCTTCTTTCTCAGAGGGGAATTTAACAAACATTTTTTTTATCCTTCCCAATCCCATATTTGTTTGTGCCTCCAAAGATAATTTAGGAATCTAAACATTCTTCTCTAACCAACTATAAAACTTTCTCCAAGTATTATCATAAACGTCATCTTCCTTCCCATGAAGCTTCATTGTCAAATTATCCAATTCTGCTATTTCACTTATTTTAACTACAAATTCCTTTTTAGATGGTATAACTTCCTGTTTCTAGTACTCCCGGGCTAATTTAAATGCATGCTCCACTTCTTCCATCAAAATTTTCCGAAATTGTTCCAGTGTAAGGTCACAAACTTTTGTGTCCTGATCAGTTTTCTCATTCACAATCACCAGCTCCATCTCTTCGTTAACAATCCCCATCTCCATTTCCTCACTTCAACACTCTTCACATATAAACTTTTAATTAGACCAGCTCATAGCTATTTCAATCAGTCTTTCATAGTAATGTTCTTTCCATTACTCTACAAACATAGTTCTTAAAAGGTGGTAGCAGTTTCAGCCAAAAGCAGTAATTCTCTCTTACCCCCATCACGCTTCGTCATTCTGTCTTCCCAAGTAATTCACGGCCGCTTTTTTCTTTCGACAGGAAAATGTTCTTGGAGGGTATAGAGCCACTTCTACTTATTATCAATTGAGTATATGCAAAATAAACTCTTCCAAGCAATGCGAAATGTCAAATTTGCTTAAATCCCATTGAAATTAAAAACACGGATGGTCGCAGCTTGATAGAACATGGCGTCCATGTTCTATCCATAGAACGCTCCCGCTTCAGGGCAGTAGCGGACATCTCCCCGTATGCCGATTACGGAAGGGGCTGCCACAAAGCCCTCTGCAACTAGCCCTCTCTCCAAGAGTTCTAGCGAAGCCCCCCCCACAACCGGGAGGGCTCCAAAAGGAGCGCAAAAGGATCGGGCATCTCAGAGCCGCCGAGAAACCGCCCGTCACCATGCCGTACCCAAACATCACACACTGTTAAAGGGCAGGCTTTCAGCTACATGGAAGCAAACACATAAATAATTTTGAATATTCTGTCTGTATGTACAATAGAATAAATTGTCTTTGTTTAGTTAACTATTTACTTCTGAGCTAGCTGTTTCTTGAGCTTTAGCATTATCCCTCTGTGGTGTGAAATTGATTTTGTTTATGAAGTATAAATGTACTGTACAATTATCGTCCTTCCTGTGTAAATGCAGATTATGGGTACTGGGCCTTGCAGAAAGCAGTACAATCAATTAGCAATGTATTTTATTTCATGCTTATATTGATCTAGAACTATCTGGGGAAGCTGTCTTTTGAGTAGAGTGCTTAGAATTTCCTTTTAATTTCTGAGACATTTCTAAGACCTTGTATAATTTGATTTGCTTTATATATATATGGGAATGCCAAAGGTTCCCTAAGACCACACAACTAATGTGAGTCTGAAAGAAAAACCCTGAATAACCAGATTTACTACAAGTATTTCAAATTATACAACACATGATGAAGACTATCCAGCATGAGGTTAAATAGACATATGTGGCATTGCCAGCGGACCTGGAGAAAACATGTTACTTTATTACAGGCTTAACGTACAGAAATCAGCAGTTGAAACTTTTCATGGCATGGAGGTAAATAACTTCACCTGTTAAATAGTGTCCTAATAAAAAGGTAAAGGTTCCCTTGCTCGAAAGCCAGTCGAATCCGACTCTAGGGTTGCGGTGCTCATCTCCGTTTCAAAGCCGAGGAGCCAGCACTGTCCAAAGACGTTTCCGTGGTCATGTGGCCATCATGACTAAACATCAAGGTGCACAGAATGCTGTTACCTTCCCACTGAAGTGGTACCTATTTATCTACTTGCAATTTCTTGCTTTCGAAGTGCTATGTTGGCAGGAGCTGGAACTAGAGACGGGAGCTCACTCCGTCATGCGGCAACTCAGGTCTCGAACTGCTGAACTACCAACCTTCCACAGCCTGCAGTTCAGCGTCTTAACCACTTGAGCTACCGCAGCTCCCTAATAAGCCTCTAGTAAAGGAACAGGGCATTTTTTCTCTAGGCCCCTAAACAAATTTATTTTCTTATTGCTACTCTTTTATGATTTTGAAGATGTGAGGATCATCCCTAAGCAGGTTTACTCAGAAGTATGTTTATTCAAGTGGGGCTTATTCCCATGAAAGTGTTCATAGGACCTCATCCATAATGGTTTTTAACAACCGTAATGTAGTCAGTATTACAGTGCTTAAGCCACTTTTTTTCAGAACAGCTGACCTAATTCCAGCAGAATTCCTCTAGAGTAAATGCTTTTTAACTGTCAGCCTTCTAAAGCCAGCTGCTGTTCTTAGAGAAAGCTGCAGCAAGATGATGTTCTCACTTGGAGTTGACATAAAATGCGTCTGAAAAATAAGGTTGTTTATGGAATGTGATTGGTTTGTCTGGCTCACGGGAGCTGGCTGGCAGCTTCCCATCATCTTTTACATGCTGTGTACAATCAACATTGAGCTGATCTTTCCAAGAACGATAAAAGTCCACATATTGCTGCATAGCATGTGAATGCTTAAAAAAAAACCCCCACACACAGACATTCATATCACCAACTTTCCTGTAAATTAATCCTGTTTCTCATCAATTTTTCACCAGCTTCACTCTGATGTTGATAAAGGAGATGGCTCAATCAAATACATCTTGTCAGGAGAAGGGGCAAGTTCCATTTTTATTATAGATGAGAACACGGGGGATATCCATGCTACAAAGAGGCTCGATCGGGAGGAACAGGCCTACTACACCCTCCGAGCGCAAGCACTAGACAGACTGACAAATAAGCCTGTGGAGCCTGAGTCAGAATTCGTCATTAAGATTCAGGACATCAATGACAATGAACCTAAATTTCTGGATGGCCCTTACACTGCTGGAGTGTCTGAAATGTCTCCTGTGGGTAAGTACCTATTGTAAACAATCAATTATGCTTGCCTCTTAAAATGCTTTTGTCACTAATATTGAGAGTGCCAATGTGGTGTAGTGGTTAGACTAGGATCTGGAGACCTAGGTTTGAATTCTTGTTCTATCATGGAAGCTGGCTGGGTGAGCTTGGACCAGTCATACGCTCCCAGCTTAACCTACAGCACAGGATAAAAAGGAGGAAAGGAAAACAATGTAAGCTGCTTTGGGTTCCCATTGGGAAGAAAGGTGGAGTATAAAGGAAGTTAATCAATAAATACATGAATCTTTATCACCTTAACTGCTACATTGTTTGAGATTCAGTTTTCCAACTGGAAAGTCAAGCTTCAAAAAAGACTGTTTCAGATCTTCAGATAAGTTGATATATACAGCAACTGGAATGTCTGGAAAGATACTTCAGGAATAAGGGGGTGTTCCAGATCTGTGGTAATAAAAATGCAGCTTCAAAGTATTTTACAGAACGTATTCTGTTGTACTCCTGATCTGGATGGCTCAGACTAGCCTGAACTCATTAGATCTAGGAAGCTCATCAGGGTGAGCCTGGTTAGCATTTGGATGGGAAAACATCAAAGATGTCCTGGGTTGATACGCAGAGGCTGGCAATGGCAAATCACCTCTGAATGTTCTTGCCCTAAAAACCATATTGGGTCAAGATACGTCAGCTGCCATCATCTTGTTGTAACAACAGTCCTATAAGGGAGGCCAGCAGGTATATGACCAGGTCTGTAGCCAGGGTTTTTTTGGTTGGGGGGACGTTTATATTTCTTTGGGGGCAGTCAATTAAATTAATTTTAATTAAATTACCCGAAAAAGAGTGGGTTGCCCAAGACCAACAAAGAAGTTTGTGATTGAGATAAGATTTGATTTGGCAACTTCCTGGATCACAGCCCTGTTCCTTAGCCACTATTCTTATTTTTTCTTAGCCACTGTTCTATGCCGGCTTCCAAAATACAAACACATTTTCTGAAACAGAAATATTACCCATTGATTTTATTTGAACTTCCCAAACTCTAGAATATTCAGTTTGATTCTGGTTAATAAAAGTGTGAAATATCTTTCCAGTCACCTAACTACTAGAGTTGCCAGTAAACTCCAAGAGCCTGGGAGGCAGAGACTTACCCAAGGAACATTGCACAACACCACAATGTCACTTTTGGCTGTGTAACTAGAAGTGATGTCACACTCTAGGATTTTTTCCAAAACTCTGTGGTAAAAAACATGGAGTTTTGGGAGAATCTTAGCACATCCTGTGATGCAGTGACATTAAATCCAGTTATGTCGCTGGAAGTGACATTGCAGGATGCCATTTTATACACACATACATTTTCTCCCACCACTCTTTTGAGTTCTGGCAGGGGAACATGGGCAGGAGGTTGCCCATCAAAGCAGACAGCCTGGCCACTGTATCTGCTACCTGATTCTTTTAATTGGAGGCATCAGGGATTGAACATGGGACCTTCTGCATGGTAAGCAAATGCTGTTCCGGTGAGCCAATCTCACCCCAATGCAGATCAAGGAAACCCTGTGAGATGCTGTATAGCAACCATTAAGTGTCTGTTAACTTATCCATATTGTGATAAATGGTATTAAAGATACTGGTAGTTGTATGAGGGCATATGTTTGCGTGAGGGCATATGTCCTCAACTTTTTCCTTCTTCCACGAGCCAGTCTCTTGAAGACATAGTGGACTATGGAGAGATGGATTTCAAGCTAAAAATTGAATTAAGAGGTCATTTGCTCTGAAGTACATCTCTTTTTTTTGAAGCCCCCGGCGGGGATTTTTTATTTTTTTTTAATAATACTACATAAACTACCAAGAAAAAATAGGGATAGGGGGACTACACTTGGGGAGAAAGAAAAGATAACCCACACTAAGCTAAAAACCCAAGGTTAGGAGATCATTCCCTGCTTTAAAAAAAAGGCTGTTAATAAACAATATACTTTGTGAGGTCCTGTCTTTCTAAGCTTATATGTTAGATTGTTAGTTATGAGAAGATTTCCCGAGCATATCCTCCAGCTCGCTTCATAAAGGCAATTTGCAAAGTCCTTCCGCCTTTACATCTATACTAAAACTCTCTAAATTCTTGAGTTTTCGCCATCTTTTTAAGAGTATCTGCCATTTCAACATTTTATTTTCAATAAAGTCTCTTTCCTCCTGGCTCTGCAAATCGCATACACTGTTAAAAGCTCATGGAAATCTCCCACAACAGGCTTACACGCTTGCAAATAAAGTATTCCAGAAGTATCCGTTTACAACTGTCTCTCTCTCTCTCCCCCTCTCCTCTTCCATTTATGTAAATGCATCAGAGAGGCACCCCCCTCCTATCGCTGAAGGGGTTTCGGGGTGTTAGGCATAGGCCAACAAGGGGGGGATTTCGCTTCAAGTATCCGTTTGCTCTGAAGTACATCTCCAGCGAAAAAATGATTGGCCCAGAGTCACCTTTATGCCACATGAGAATTTGAATATAAATTTCCCCAAGCCTAATCCACTATACCACATTGAACATAAATCACATGTCATCACATAAGATTATGTAAAGCTTTGTGCCCAGTGCAGTTATAAGAGAATTGTAAAATAATTGTAAAGGAACTTGACCTTTAGGTGAAATGGCGAGGTGAAACAAATTGGGAGGGAGTACTAAATAAAAAATAAATTTTCCTAGATATGTAGTTTTAATAACATATGATTGGTGCAGTTACTTAGGCCAGTGGTTCTTAATTAAAAAGTTAGGACCCAAAAGTGGGGTTACCAGGCCAGGAGGAGGAGCAGAGTGAACTTGGAGAGGAGGCTCTGGGAGGCTCAAATCCAAATTTGGGGTCGCCCTGCATAATGTTAGTTAGCGATGCTGTATTGCCAAATTGCCAGATACTAAACATGAAAATTAAACTATTAGGTTGTCCAGTATAAACTGATATGAAATTCTTGCACTTTATAGCAAAGGGGAAAGTAGCATAAATTTACTTAAGAGGTGGGTCCAGCAGAGGTGGGTCTCAGCAGAGCATAAAGTTCTTTGGGGGACATACTACCTCCTCTGGTATGTCCCCCAAAGAGCTTTACACTCTGCTGGGAGTAACCTACTGGTGATCCCTAGCCCTAAAGATGTCTGGCTGTCCTTGACCAGAGCCAGGGCTTTCTCAGGTCTGGTTCCCACCTGGTAGAACTCTCTGCCAAGCAACATCCATGCTCTGAGGGACCTTATGCCGTTCCACAGAGCATGCAAGGCAGAGATGTTCCATCAGGCTTCTGGTTGAGGACAGCAACAGGTTCCATCTTATCTGGCACTCCCTTTCCTTCCCTTACTCTGCTTTTTTCATATTGCAGAACAGTAATATATATTGTATGACTGTTCTGGTGCCATTCTGTTGTTATTTTTAGCTGTTTTATTTTTATCTTTAGCTATTTTAATTGGATTTTAAATTATACAGTTTATGTTGTCAACCACCCTGAGCTCTGTGAATTCAGAGAAAGGTGGTATACAAATCTAAATTATAAATAAATAAATGCATACATACATACATACATACATACATACATACATTTAGAAGTGAGTCCCCTTCAAAAAGTTGGAGAACCGCTGGTTTAGGGTATAATCCATAGTTCATTTATGGTAATGTAATGCTGCTGGCAACTGGTGGGAGACCTAAGGGGGCAGGGAAATGTAGATATGCATTGCAGTGATCCCATGACATCACTTTTGGCACAAACTCAGAAATGACATCATGGCATCGGTGCAACGCTCTAGGATTCTCATGAATTCAGTGGTTTTAAAACCAAATTTCAGTGGAATCCTAGACCCTGAGCATCATGTTGATGCAATGGCATCAGTTCTAGGTTTGTGACTGAAGAGGTGGCATGGCATTGCCATAATGCCTATCCCTCCATTTCCCCTCTGCCACTCTACTGAGCAGTGGTGAGCAACCAGGGCTGCAGGGCAGAAAGATGCATATAAAATAATTCTATTAAATTATAATAATAATTCCATTAAAGCTACCAGGTCCATTCGGGTGTAATTGGGTTATGGATTGCAGCCACAGAGGTTAAGTAGTATGCCATGGCATAGGCTGTTATAGTAAATGTCCTAGTTCATTTGATACAGTATTAGAGAGACATCTATTCTAGCCAGTAAATAGTGTATGTGAACAGGCATATTGCAGGTTAAATTTCCTTTGATGTTTCAGTAAACATATATATCCAAATTTCATTTTTTTCCCCAGACCTGGCCATGCATAAATAGTTTTTGGCAATCCTAGAATAAATTCCATTTTCCTCACAGGTGTCTTTGTGTTCATGTAAATATGTTAGCAAAGAACGTTCCCAGACTGCATGGTGGGAACAAACAAAACAGAACAAACTCCAATTGCTGAGCACCATCGGTGAAATCATATGTCCCTGTAGCAAAATAAAGGAGAGTGGTTTGAAACATGAGCCAGGGCAAAGGGAAGACAAGTAAATCACTTTTACTGCAATATGATCTTAGTAAAATGTAAGCATAAATATTAGTGACGAGTTGATATCTGGCTCTTTTCCACATTCCTTTATTATAAAGTCAGTATGGGGGAAGAGGTGAATAACCTCTAAAGGAAACAAGGAGATCAGCATTCACTAAAAATATCATGAGGGCAAGATGAAATAGAGAAAAAGTCCTTAAAGCTGTTTCCAGCTGCAATATGGAAGGAGAGGAATAACTTAGATAATCCAGTACATTTAAGAACAAATAATTCACACCTTTAAGAAATGTATGCATTTGGTACAAAGAAAACCTGTAATACTCTCTAGTGGTATCTCCTAGGGTAGGAAATGCTCATTGCAGCAGTACTGCTTGAGGTTGCTTTTGTAGTCAGTTTAGGCCCCATTCACATGGAGCATTTGCTGTGCTGAAGGCACGATAGTCCCACGGATTTTCCGGGCGCGATCACACCAGAACATCTGGGAGGCGTAGCGCACCTGTGCTGAACCTGTGGCGTCCCGCCGAAGAT